CCATCCATCCATCCATCCATCCATCCATCCCCATGCTCCTCTCTCCCATCATCTGCTTCCCCTGTCCACCCCTGTGTCCCACAAGCATTGTATCTGTCCCCCTGCCCGGGTTGCTGCCCCATGGCAAGCATCACCCAGCCCTGTGAGGTGTGACAGCCCCACACCAAGGCTTACCTGTTCCATCCTTCGCTGACCGGCTGCCGGAGGTGACCCAGGGCTTCTTGGAGGCTGCTACCCCTCAGCAGCTCCCACCCCCAACAGCAAGTCCCAGGGTCAGGCTGCCCTCCCTGCCACCCCCAGGCAGGGACAGGGAGAAGAGAGGAAGGGACAGGAGGACGTGGGGTAGGAGGGAAACACCACGGACTACCTGGGGATGGGGTATCCCAGCCCTGCAGCCCTACATGCACTGGGGTGGTGAAGCAGGGGTGTCCTCCCTGGGCTCAGGGGGCTGTGGAGAGGCTGGGCATTGTAGGGCTGGTCCCTCTGCCTGCATGGCTATCCTAGCATCCCCAAGTGGTGGCCCAGAAAGCATATAGGGTCTTCCAGGACCCCCTGGCATCCTGAGGACAAGGACAGTGTGCTTGCTTATGGGGCACAGGGCTTAACCTGGGCCTTCTACGGAGATGTCTGTTGTCATCTTGCTACCAGGGGTTGGTTTGAGCTCAGCCAGAGTGAGCAGAGTCCCAGAAAGGGCCTAAGAGGGGTTTAGACATCGCCATGGAAAAAGTGGGGCTCGCCACAGCAGTGAGCCCTCACAAACAGCCTGAGCACCACCCTAAACCCAGGAGGGCTCCATCCCCACCCCACTTCAGGGCAATCCCACACCAGTGCAACCAGGCTGATTGTAACATGGAAAATAGCACCACTGTGATAGCAAACTTATCAGCTCTGCTTTGCAGGGCAGCTTAATTTTGCCTGGCAAAGCTCAGACGCTACCAAGGATGCCACGAGTGCAGGAGGAGGCAGGGCAGGCTGGCACCCATCCTGGGCATCCTCCTTCCCAGCCCTTCATGCCACCAAGGGGAAGGGCAGCTGGCATCACATAGGGATGTGCTGCTCCAGGCACTGTGATATCTGCAGGGGAAGGGCAGCACACCGTCGAAGAAGGGTCCGGGGTCTGTCCCCTCCAGCTGTGCCAGCGGGCTGCCAGCTGTGCGAGTCTGCTGTCCCCACCCGGTTCCCCAGGGACCCCGGCAGGGCAGCGTGGTGGCAGAAGGGGGGCAGAGCCTCCTGTCCCCTAAGGAAAAGCACAGGCATCCGGATAACAGCTTTATAGGGGAAGGATGTGGGGACTCCCCCAGATACACACAGAAGAATAATTACGATTTAAATAGGATCCAAACACACATAAGTTAAAGGGGGGGCAGGTGCCCTGCAGCCCCCCCTTGCTCCACATGGGCACAGTCTGTGTCTGCCAGCAAAGAGACCCCCGACGCTGCAGCCCAGCCCCTCTCCCCGGCCGGCTTCATCTGCCTTTCACAACACGGAGCCGATCTTCCTCTCTGTAGAGCCCATCTCGTCCTCCTCCTCCTCTTCTTCCTCCTCCTCAGCCCCCGAGCAGGAGGAGTCCGGGCTGTAGCCCAGCTCGGCAGTGCTGCGGTGCAGGAAGCCTGAGCCGGGGCCGTGCCCCATGAACTCGGGGCTTTCGGCAGCTTGTCCCTGGGCCTCGCCGGGCAGCAGCTTCTCACAGGCTTTGCCGAGCCCTCGTTGCTTCTCGGCCTCCACTTGAGCCCCTTGCTCCTTGGCTTTGCGGCTCCGCTTCCACTTCATGCGGCGGTTCTGGAACCAGATCTTCACCTGCCAAGGGAGAGCCCCCAGGGGAGAGTGTGTCCCCTTGCCCCATCCTGTCCCCACTCAGCCCCTCGCCTTGCCTGCATCAAGGGTCCCCCCAAAGCCTCTGAGCTGAGGGTGTCATGAGGAGAGGACTACATTGGGGACTTCTCCCTTCCTCCTGCCCAGCCTCTGTGATGAAGGGACAGGGACAGAGGGGACCAGCAATCCCCCCAGGATGCCCGAGGACATGAAGGAGAAATTAAAAGCGGAATTTCAACCCCACAAAAAAAAAAAACCAACAACCTTACATAGTGCAGGGAGGGATGGGAAAGCTCTGAAATCTAAGTTGGGGATGCCAGGTAAAAAGAGGAGCACTGTTTCTGGGGTACCCCTCACAAGACATGAGCCTGAAGCCCATCAGGAAGATCCCTGCAGGAGATGCCCTGGAAATGGGTACTGACTGGGGCAATAGGATGTGGGGCTGATGCCTCTCACTGCCCATGACTTTGACTTCCCACCCTGCAGCCTCCCCACCTCCCTGGCAGCTGGCCGGTGCCATCCTCCATCCCCCCAGGACCAAGGTACCTGCGTCTCGGTGAGCATCAGTGATGTGGCCACCTCAAAGCGCTTGGGTCTGGAGAGGTACTTGTTGAGCTTGAACTGGTTCTCCAGCTCCAGGAGCTGCTGGCTGGTGAAGGCTGTGCGGGGCCGGCGGCACTTCCCCATCAAGCCGGACTGCGGGGCGGCTGCAGGGCAGAGAGCGGGCAGGGGTCAGGGGACAGCGGGGCTGGAGGGGACATCTCCTGGGCAAGCCCAGGATGAGAAGGAAGGCGAGAGTCTCTTCCATCATCCCCCGCCCCAATAATGGCTTTATTGCCTGCCAGCGAGATACCTTATCAGGCCTCGGTGTGCAACTGGGATCAGTCCTGTGACTGAAATTAAACCTCCTATTTTTTTATTGCCGGGCCGCGCAGGTGGCTGCCCAACTGCCAGGGGCTGTGGTGGCAGGGCTGCCCGTGGGCCCCGCTATCTCGCCCGCGGCCCTTGAAGGCAGCGCGGCGCTGGATCAGGAGGCAGCGGGAACAAAGGGACCTTTGACAGTCCAGCGTGGGGTGGCTGCCGCGCCGTGTTTGATCCCCGCTTATCTCTTCCCCGCTGGCTTTATTGTGTGTGTGTGTGTGTCCCCCTCCTCGCCGGGGTCCAATTTTACTGCTTCTCCCAGTGCCGCAGGGGCAATCAAACCCAGAGGTTTGCAGCTGGGTGTAAAGTGTTGGAGCAGCACTTGGGGGGGGGGGGCATTAACGGGAAAGGGCCTTGGGACATCACTGCTGCCGCACCTTGGGGAGGGAGACGGAGCATGGTGGCCCCAGAGAGGTGCCCTGCTTGGCGAGGGTCGCTCAGGCTCACCCTCTGTGCAGGGCATGGGGGCATCATCCACGTTATCTCCCTCAGATTCCAGCTTTGATCCCGACCTGCCCATCTCCTGCTGTGTCCACCGAGCCCTTCACAAACACAGTGGTGACGCATGAGGCAGGAATTTATGAAGGGGGCATTAACTGATCACGATCTGGGTTTGATCCCAGGGACCTGGGTGCTGGGTGGGACGGGTGGAATAGACTGGGCTGGGGCTCTGCAAACTCCTCATGCAAGCAGGAATGGACACAACCCCTCCTGCACCCCCAGCCCCACTGCAGCAGGAGCGACAGGTCCCTGTGGGACCCACCTTGCAGCTAAACTGGGGACTGGATAGAGGCATGCTGTGCTGATGGCTCTGACACACACAGAGTGCATTATTTTGCACTTTCAAGGCTAAAAACAAATGAGAGGCTCAAAGGATTGACAGGATAAATACGAATGTCAGACGAAAGGTGGCTCAGCCCTGCAGAGCTCTGCTGTGACTCTAGCCATACAAATCTTTGACAGATACGTGGGACCAGGTGCTAAGGAAAGGAGGTGCCATGAGGATCAGCATCTGCAGGGATGGGGCAGCCCAAGCTAACACCCCTTGCAGCTCCGTGAGGGGAGAAGGCTGGAGATGCGTCAGAAAGAACTGGAGAGGAAATTCATTCAGTGAGCATCAGTGAGAAGCTCGACACAAAGCAGCCCCAGGCAGATCCTGGCAGATGGAGACCTCCAGGATGGGTGCCCTGGGGAAGCATCCTTTGCTGCCGGAGATGGGAGGGTGCACTGGGGCACCCAGTGCCTCTTTGCCTCTCTGGAGGGGGGGCTGCACTGAGCATACTGGCTGTACTGGGTCAGGGAAGGGTCCCTCTGAGCAGGTCATTTTTCTGGGCATGGTACATAGAGGACGCTTTGGCAAAAGAGAAGGAAAGAGGACATGTCCACATCCCAGCATTCCAGTTTCTGTGCTTTCTGGAGCCAGAGGCTGTTTTGGCAGGGGTAAAGAAATATCATATTCCCAGCCTGAATTCCCCATCCCAAAGCAGAGAGCCCAGGGCTCACCTCTTAGAGCACTGCATCCTCACCCTGGGGAGCACAGAAATCCTTCAGATCGCCCCAAAAGGCTCCTCTGTACCTCCTCCTGCAAGGCCAGATGTGGCCAGACTAAAAACAGATGTGGGAAGAGTGGAGGTACAAAAGTGGGTCTCAACCCCAAAAGTAGGGGGAGTTCAGTCTGTCCAGCTTCAGAGGAGACTGGAAGTCAGTTTGTTTTAAAAACACCCCACCATCACCAAGGGACTCACTGTTACCCAGGAAAGATGCTGAAGACTGCTTGGTCTATCAGGGAAAAAAAGAACAGAAAATTTGCCCAAAAGCCAAATAAATCCAAAGGGGATATATCCCAAATAACTGCCAATGCAGGAGACCAACTGCTGGAGCATGATCCCTCTGCCAGCCCCAGGTTCCCCATCTCCGTGTCTCCAATTCAGGCTCAGTGCAGTGGTGTCCATTACAAACCTTGTACAGATCCTGACTTCCCTGGAAACCCACCTTGCCTCCCGCCTCAGTGCTGACAAAAAAACAACCCTCAAACCCCTCTAGGGTGTTGTCATGCAGTTCAAGCCACCACCAGTCCAAAGCCCAGCCTACACAGATATGGCCGGCCACCTAACCTGTCACCACCTCTGACAATATTCCCTACTATTGTCCATCACTGCTGCTCCCCATGGTGACTTGTTCAAGATTCATCCAGCAGAGGAGATGGGGCAAGCCCAAACCAACACAGCTTTAAGGTCTACCTGACCTTCAGCCACCCACAGCAGCAGCTCAGCATGGACCTGAACCACCAGCATCTCTGGCCTCAGACTTGCTGTCAGCTTCCATGAAAGGCTCTGGTTATTTTTGTGCTGAGAGATTATGGAGGAAGAGGGTCTGCAATTTCTTGCTGGGGAAGGAGCAAAGGGAGGAGGAAGTGGAATCTTAAGGCATGAGGTAGGTTCCAGTTTCTCGTGCAAAGAGGAAACCATGTCTTGTGGCTGCTGGTAGCTCCAGCCTGTCCTATCACTGTATTTGATGGACTCCTTTCCTGTCCTGCTTTGTCCTACGGCAGGCCATCACATGGACATGGACAGCATCCTCCCAAGGGATGCAGAAGGAGCACCCCCCTAAGACTTGCCTCCCCCAGTCCCTGCCAGCTGAACTATGAACGCATCTCCATCACAACCACCATCCCACAGAAGAATAACCCTTCAGGAAGGCTCTTCTCCTTACCCAGCTCCAACCAGAAGACCAGCACCACCTTCAATGGCCAAAGGATTTCCCATCTGCCCAGAAATCTTCTCCAGCGCTAATATCCCTTCAGCCTCGCAGGGTTTGGACCCCCTGGTGAGTACCCAGCATTTGGCTGCAATATCATTAAATAAATTTATTGGCCCGGAGCCAGGAATGTCCTCCAAGTCTGAGGCCAGAAGCTCTAGAAGGCAGCTGCCTCCTGGATAATTAGATAAAGCTTATAAAGAATTGTTGGTTTATTTGATACAGTTCCGTCTACTTGATAACAAGGGTAATCCTAGGTTGATATTAACCCACTTGGTTTTAATTTGGTTTGTTTAGCTATAGTTCACTTAACTTTGTGGGCTAGCAGATAAAGGAGAGGAAATTAGCACCCTGTCTGCTTTGGAGGTGTTTCTCCAGATGTCAGGGCTGGGAAGGGGGAGAGGTGGTCTCATCAGCATCAGGGCCATCACCAGAGGTTTCTCCTGGTCTGCTGGCACCCCTGACCATTGTCCGTGGGACAGCATGTATAAGGGCACTTCCTACCTCTTCTAGCCCCCTATTTGCTCTGTTATTGAGGCCTGATTGCTGCTTGCCAGCTGTTTTCCAGCCCGTGTTTCCTGCTGACACCAGACCACTGTGCACCTGATGAGCCTTGGAAGGCGTTGCTTTTGGAAAGAGTTTGCTATGACTTCTCTTGCCCACTCTCCCAGCCCAGCACAGCCTGTCGGTCAGCTCTCTGCCACTGTGGGCAGGATCTGGCCTGGGTTCCAAACCGTCAAGGTGTTGAGCAGGTGAGGCAGGCAAGTGGTGTCCCAGCAAAGCTGTCTGAGCAGCAGGTCCCCAGTGGTGAATCCTAGGCTTTTCCTGAGAGCCTGCAGCTGTATGTCAGCTCTCTGCTCCTACAACTGTCCTCTGCATTTGGCTCCCATCACTCACATTGCATTTTCATGCTGCTAGCCAGGGCAAACAAATCACAGCTCCCAGAAATATTGATAGGCACGGCACCCCGGTGCCAAACGCTCCCCCTGTGTGGTTTGGGAGATGCTCAACGCCCTGGGACAGGGATCCAGCCCGGCGGCAGCAGAGCCCTGAGCAGGCAGCATCCCCCTGGCTGCAGCAAGGGCAAGCCTGCTCCTCCGCTCAGGTCTTCCCACCCAGCCCTCTCCCTCCGCATTGCAGCAGAGGCAGCCGGGCGCTGGCTGCGGCTCCGCAGAGGCAGCTAATGAGGAAGGCATGGCACCCGTCAGGACCGCAGCAGGAGCACCTGCAGCCAAGCCCAGACCAGGTTCCTAAGGGTACCCACTGCCTCAGACCATCTCCCCAGCATCCCACCTCCCTCCGTACGCGGGTGAGGGCAGGGTGAGCACGTGCAACGTGTCCCCATGGAGCTCCTGGCTCCAGTTCAGGGGATGTCCTGCTCCTTCCCCCACCCTGACTGTCCCCAGGAGACCAAACTAGACTGTGCCTGCAAAGGAGCTCTACACAGGCAGCTAAAGAAGGAATTCATGATTTAGTCCTGGAATATTCCATAAATAAAGCACGAGGGTGAGCTCCCTCTGGGTTGCCCCACAGCATGTTCTAAGAGCCTTTCAGATGCATCTTTCCCAAATGTCTGCCCGCTGTTACCTGGAGTGCTAAATGTGACCAGCACCAGCAGTGTGGACACTTGTGCTCAGTCGCTCTGGAAATCTCAGCCAGGCAGATCTGTCCATCTGCCTAGGCTGGGTGATGGGACAGAGCACTCAGGAACTACAGGAAGCCCAGAAGCCCTGTGCCAACGGTGGCAGGCTCCTGCTCAGCCCACCACCCTCCTCAGAGGAATGAGGAAGGGCTCGGCAGGAGGTCCTAGACAGGTGTCCCTTCCTGTGGCATATCCACACCACTGCCCCTATCCCCACACCATGGCCAGCACAACTGGGCAACATGAGCCCAGACACAGCCACAACATACAGCTGGGGTCAGTTCTGGTGACTACAGGGACAATGCACGCTGCCAAGAGACCTACTTTTGGAGTTTGCAGTGACCTAAGTAAGAGGAAAGGCATGCTTGAAAGAATACCAATGTTCCCAACAGACTGAAACAAGGATCTAAAGATGGATGAGGAACAGGTTCTGATGACATAGTCTACACAGTGGTGAAAATAACAGGAGACAAGGACCAGGGTAGCAGGACCCCTGGGTGAACAAGTGTGGAGAGGAGAATAGACCCTAAACTAAGTACAAGTCCCGCAAGTCAGAAGTGATGTCCATGGGGAGGTACAGGCAGGTAGAGCAGTTGCAAACACACAAAGCTTCATCCTTCTGCTTCAGGGAGGCACTAGCTCAAGCTCTGCATCCAGCTTGGTCCCTCTGCTTTGGGAGAGGAGGACATTTGGAAGAAAACCCTGAAAGTAGTCAGGATGGACACCCAGCTCGGAGGAGATGGAAGCAGCCGGGCTGTGTAGTTGGGAAAAAAGAAAGCTGAAACGGACCTACAGAGCCTCCTCATGTGTAGACTGGGCAAGCAAAGAGAACAGAGTGTGATTTGCTGTGTTTGGCATGACAAATTTGGGGAGAACACTGGAGCAAGAAAAGCTTCGTGGCAGGAAAATTCCTGAAGTACTAAACCAGAGAGCCTGGGGAGAGACAATCCCCACTACAAAGGGCTCCCCAGAACTGGGAACAAACACCTGTCAGCTCCAATTTAAAAAATCTACAGCTTTGGCAGTAATGTTTGGCTTTTCCTACATCCTTATTACACCTCCACATGTCTCCTTTGCCTCTACTCTGCTTTGGGCTCTTCAGGGCCCAGCGTACCAGTACTTGGATCAGAAAATGCCTTTCCTCTCCTGAGCTCTCCCCAGGAGCCCAGCTCAGTGCTTCCCAAAAGACTCATTACTGTTCCCACACATCCTAGCACAGCCCAAAAGCTCTCTCCACAAGCTTGTGCTCATGCCCATGATTTGGGATTTGTCTCCTTCCAACAGGGTTTTGGAGACAACCAGCTCTGGAACTGATCCTGCACTTGAAAGGGATGAGCCTGTTGATACACAAATATCTCTCCATTATCCCAGCCAGAAGTTGAGCTGAGGGCACAGGGGCAAGTAGAGCGATGTGATCCCGCTCTGGTGAAACACACCTCTACCTGAAGTTACCTGGATGTCGAGGTACACCAACAGACCCAGCCCCTGCAAGGACAATGTGGACTCTGCAGAGGAGCAGGAAGGCGTTTCGCCACCAGCAAATAGAGATTTTCATTCCCTGTTCTTAATGGTGCCCTTGAAGAGCGCACACAGCCCATAGCACCAGATCCTCATTCTACACCCTTAGGTGCCATCACCAACCACTTCACAGCTGGATCTATCTTACAGTCCACAGAGATCCAGGGAAAGGGAGAGCAGGCTGGGGTGGGGAACAACCTCTTTGCCTTCAACCCGCAGCGGCGTAATTTGAGGAAGGAGCAATTAATGCGGTGTTTCATATTAATTCTCCCTTTTTGTGTTGTTATTCATCCAGACAGTTTATTAATTAACTGACTTACCCAGTCTTTTTTTTCTTTAAATATGCTTTCTGGTTATTAAGATGCTAAACTCAGCTAATAAATCCGGATGCTCTGCTTGGGGTTCTGCTCTCAGTTTACTGCCCACTGGCCCCCATACTTGTGGCTACTTGTGCCTCCCCACCCGTGGCCCGGTGTCGCAGTGCAGGACCCGACGCCTGTCCCCAGCCTTAGCCGTGACCACCGGGCTCACCGGACCCGCGGAGCCAGCTCCTCGCCCCGCAGGAGCTGTGTGCGGCGGTGGGCAGCGACCCGGAGCCCCTTCCGTTCTCCGGCCCGGGGGACCGATCCGGCCGCGCATCCCTCCGTGCCCCAGCCCCGTCGGGCGGCGCAGGGGGCAAGAAAGCGGGCGGATTCGTTCCCGAGCGCACCGGCCGGGATTTATTCGTTTCCCGGTGTCGGTTTCGGCTGCTGCTTCTTTATTTTCGTTTCCTTTCCCCCGCAGCAGTGCCCAACGAGCCCGCGGCGGCCGGACGGGTTCGGCGGCCGCAGCCGGCTCTGGTGGTCCGCCCCGGGAGCGGCTCAGTTCTACCGGCACCGGGGCGGGCAGTGCCCCGCGGGGCCGTCCCGCAGCACCGGGCTGGGGCAGGGCGAGATTTTGTCCTTCTGCTCGGGTTCCCGCAGCCCTCGGAGGTCTCCGGAGCGCTGGTCTTACCCCTCCCTCTCCATGCGACCCCCCCAAACCTGCCCTTGCTGGGGAGCGGGTTCAGGAGCAGCAAGAACCCCGCATCGGAGTCAGCCCCGAGGGCTCCCACCCGAACCGCAGGGGAACCGCGAAGGGGCGGCCTCGGAGACCCTCAGCCTTCGGTCCACGAGAGGACCTGCACCCCCTTGTGCCGGCGGAATCGGGAGGGGCAGAGCCCCCCGACCCCGGGGGTAGGAAGGGGCGAGAGCCGCGTCCCGCCCGACGGGAGGGTCGTTCCCCGGGTCACTCACCGTGGAAGTCGGAGAGCCTCGGCACCAGCATCCCGGCTCGGATCCAGTGCTCCAGCGGGAAGGAGCCGGCCACGGCTGCCTTCAGGTGCTCCGCGCCGGGCGGCGGCAGGTGGGGGATGCCGGTGTAGGCGAAAGCGGGGTGCTGGCCCCCCAGGGCCGGGAGCGGGTACACGGCGGGCGGGTAGAGGGCCGGCAGGGCGCCGAGCCCGGGGCCGGGGAGATGCAGCAAACCGGGCTTAGGGACGAAGCCGGCCGGGGCGAGGGGGGCGGCGGCCGGGGGCCCCCGCGGCGAGGGGGTGTCGGAGCGACCGGCGGGGCCGGGGCTCGCCGCGGGGCTCCCGGGGCTCAACCCCGGCGGGGAGGCGCTCCTTCCCATTCACCTACATCACTAATTACACACAAGGCAGACCAGGCTGATGGTGTCTAGTGCTGATGTGAGCATCACCAGTAAGATTTCAGGCTTGTCTCTGAGTGGCTTTGATGGAGACCTCAACTTCCAGACATGGGGGGGTTTCTCCCTAGCACAGCACTATGTGCTGCCTCTGCCTTGGGGCAGCTTCTTGTATGTGAGAGCAAGGAGGGGTGGTGGCCACGTGCTGCGGGCCCCGACCGGTTCCCCGCCAGCCTCCCTCCTCCGGCTTCCTCATCCCCCGGCCGCAGCAGCAGGGACACCCGAGGGCTGGACCCAGACCCTTCTGCCCCTTCCTCAGGCTCACAACCCAGCTCAGCCCAGCCCCAGTCCGCACCCAGGGGGTCCCCCCAGCCTGCAGGACCCCCTGCCCAGGGCACTGAGCCCATCATCCTGATCCAGAAGCAATCTCACTCTCCTTAGCCTGCTCAGTGGGGAAGAGGGTCTGTAGGTGCAGTGGCTGGAGGAGATCTGGAGAGAGACCAGATGGACTTCAGCACAAGATGGCAAAGCCCTCCTGGGCTCCAGTGCTACCCTGGCTCTGCAGAGGCCCCAGTCCTCGTGGGGCAGAGTGTCTGGCTGGGAGAGTAAGAGGAGCTCTCACTCACCAGCAGACTTCTCTGCACCCCACGCACCTGGGATCACCAGCAATGCCCAACTGTGCCATTTCCCACTGCACCTCTCCTGGGCCAGGAAGATTAGTGGACCTGAGCTGGACAGACACAGGGGCCACCACCCTCCACCTCCCATGTCTGTCCAAAATGTCAACAGAGCAGGTGCCTACAAGCAGATTGTTACTCATTTGCCTGGTCTTATCTTTCCCAACCAAGACACAGCTTGGAGAGTGGCACCAGGGAAGGGCTGAGAGGAAAGCCTTGACTGGTCTGGGAGATGTGGGTGAGCAGGAGCAGAGCTGGCCCCAAACCCCTGGTACTGGTATTCAGGGAGAGGCAGAGTGTGTGTGAGTGTATCTGTGGGTTCTGGCTTCAGGGGTCAGTGTCTGCCTGTCTCTGGGTCCCACCTTTCTGTGCCATGCTGAGACATCGAGACAAGCCTCTACTTGTTTGTGTCCAGTGATGGGTCCTGCTCTTTGGAAGGCAAGTGAGGCAGCGCCCTGCCTAAATATTATAATGGCTAAAGGGAGCTCCCATCCCTGTATTTCTTCCCCCTTCAGCATTTACAGCAATGCCATATTCCTTTAGCAGGAGATTAGTCCACCTCCCTGTACCCTGTGTCCCACAGAGGCTATAAGCAAATGCCCAGGGAGAAGAAAGGTGTGGGACCTTCCCCATCCTCCTGTGCTTTCTCTGCTCAGTAACCCCAGGGGCTTCTCTTCCCCTGCCCATCCAGTCTGGCAAGGAGCTCAGCAGGCTCCAGACACACACATCACCCCACTGCAGGGAGCTCCAAAGGTCCCATGTGTAGGACAACTTCCTTTGCACAAGCACAGCTCCCACTACTTTCACCACACAGGCCCAAATCCTTCTACAGGAACAGACACACAATCTTTCCCCAGGAAGGGGAGAGGGCAGGAATCAGCCCTATGGACAGCCCAGAAGGGGATTTGGGATGGATGTCACCCCACAGTAACACATCCCATTTGGACAGAGGGTACTGAAGGTGGAATAGTGTCCCTTTCCACTCCCAGCACCTCTGTGCCTGCTGCTATACCCTCTCTCCACCATCAAGGAGGCTGTAGGGCTCTTCCACCCCCTCCCACTCCCAAATCCATCCACCTCTGCTTTCCCAGGACAGAAGCCAGTGTCCCCACCAAGCAGAAGGACTCCAAGCTCTTTCCCTCTCCCCCCATGTGAGTACCCAGCCCTGCCAATCAGCAGGCATGGGCAGGACAAGATCTGGGGAGGAATGGAGCAGCCTGGCTCCCAAGCACAGGGGAAAACTGCAACAAGTATCTAGGGAAGAGGGCACAGCAGAGGTAGGACAACTCTTCTGCTGCAGGTTAACACCTTGCAATGATGACAGCCCAAGGGAAGAGCCACCACTTCCTTATCCGAGTCCCCAGGGCTGGCTCCAAGGATTGCTGTGGCTCTTTAGCTTCGCCCAGGGAACACGTCTTGGGACATGGGGCAGACTGGGGCTGCTGCGCTGGGGCACGACAGAGAAATCACCACCAGAGTGGCCACCATGAGGTGACAGACAGGCCAAGCCTGCCAAAGCCATGAGACCACTTGTGACTGTACCCACTGGAGCACAGGCAGTGGGAGCAGGGCTTGAGTCTGGGGGTCTGGGTCACAGCACAGAGTCACAGCCTTACTGTCCCCATGGAAGTGTCCTGCACTACCCAGGGAGGCTCTCCCAAGACAAGCAGCTCCTCCAGGGAGAAGAAGCCCAGGCTGGTGCCCAGTTCACTGATCCGAGGGTGATGCAAGTACAAGCAGCCAAGCTGCAGCCTTTGAGTTGCACAGGCAAGAAATCTTTGCAGACACCAGCCATAAAACCTGTGTGGAAACATCCCAATAAAGACATCTAGGAAAATCAGAGGGAATTCCCTCCTCCAGGTGAGTCAAACCCAGACACTGGGACCCTACAAGAGGGTTGTCTGGGTCTGGAGCAGCCGGCACACAGCCCATACCATGTGGGGCAGAGATCCGGAGCCCAGATCCGTGCATAGAAGAGCTGTGCCGGGCAGTGGCCAGCAGAAGGGGCGGGATGCAGGCAGTGATAGATGCCAGGGTGCTGATGAGTTCACAGTCTTCAGGGTCATTAATCAAATCAGAGCTGGATTAAGGTGTCCGAGGTCTGATTAGCTTCATTTCCCGCCTCAGGAAGGAGGGAACTCTCTTCCCCATCCATCAGGTCCTCTGGTGACAGATCACCTGGTTGCTAACTAGATTTGAGGACTCTAATAAGTGAGCATGGCTGTGGCCTGGGCCCTTACCTCTGCTCAGCATCCTTCCTCCACAGGAAGGTCTCCACAAACCAACCCCAAATGTCAGCCACAGGCAGCAGACCCCAGGATATCAGCCAGAGAGACAGCTCGTTCCCACAACCTGGGGGTTCTGCAAGGTATGGACAGGAGCTGCCCCAGGAAACCACCCCAGTTCAGGAAGAATTGAAGTTTAAGGAGGGATGTTCCCAGCCAGCACCATATTGCTCCCAGTGCCCCCACAGCTCACCCTGTGCTGCTACCCCAGAGCCTTCTCTGCTCACCCGGTGGTAGCAGTGCTTTCCCAAGGTGACCAGCTCTGTGAAACAGGCCAGCAAACACCACCTTGCTGCTGTGGAAGATCTTGGGCACACCCAGGACAGACCTCCCGACCCCCATACAGAGCTAAATCGACCAGCTTGAATTCCTGACCCAGCCAGGTTACTTCTCCCATCTCCGCATCCCTTGCTGACTCAAGCACACTCCATCAACATCTCCATTTGTCTCTTGCCTGATGCACTTCATGTTGACTTGGCCCTAAAGGTGCATCCACACCTAACCACTTAGTCTGCTCCTGTCCAGTAAGTGCAGACCAGCGGGAAGTCCATGGTGCCCAGGCAGCAATGAGGTTCCTCAGCTCACTCACCTCTCTGGGAGGGCCCTGATCACAACAACCCTCACTGGGCAACAGGCAGCACCAGGAGCATTCACACAGCCCAGGACTTCCTGGGACTCTTCCATTTGCCCAGGCATTTTGCAGGCATTTTCTGGATGTGCCTCAGCTGGATGTTCAGAGCCTAGTCTTCCTTCAGCCACCTGAAAGCAGCAGTCATGCAGGTGTAAATAAGCCCTGCAAAGCCTTTTATTGCCAACATGAAGGTACCTAAATAGGCAAATGAAGGTCTCTTTGTGGCATCTTGCCCCAGATAGATTGTCTCCATGCAGGTTCCATCCATACAAGGTCAAGTAGTAGGAGTCAAACAAGAGCAGCAGACATCCACATGGCCCCCAAGGACACACAGCTCTGGTGCACACAAGTTCTCAGCATCTGTAGAGACACACAACACTAGCTGCAGCAGTTCACATGCTTCCCCAGGCTGTCACCAGCAGTGCCTGAGCTCTCAGAAATGAGCCATGGGGGTCACAGGTAGTATTTGGGAGCACAATTCAGTTTTACAGCCCCGCCACTTCCTCAGTGTCACCTTGGGAAGCAACGTAACGTCCCTCAGCAAACCCAACTGCCTCAAGATCAAAGCCAAGGGTGCCGAAGAAAATCCATAGCCTGATAAAAAATTACCGACTGGGATCAGACTTTAATTTTCCCAGGATCAAGTTCTTATCCCCAACATGAGATGAAGACATGACCCATTCTGGGGCTGTGTTTTGATTTCCACCTAACCTGTGATTTTGGCTATTCCTAGGTGCACAGCTGAGCACCACATCTTTCTGGCAGGTTTGGGTCATGGACGGAACCAGGGTGCTTTGCCCATCCCAGAGAGGTGGCAGGCACCCTGATTTCTGCCCAGGCTATAGCTTTTAAGCCTTGAAAGAGCTCCCTGTCCCCATGATGGCTGTACCCACTTAGTAAGCATTAACTACTCCCCAGCTCACAGTCCCCAGAGCTTTCCATCTTTAGAAACTACTTCCCTGCAAGACACCCATCATGCAACAACCTTGCTTAAAGCATCTCTCAGGAAGCAGTGGATATTGCTGCTCTGGCCCTGATGCCTCAGGTCATCTTGCAGCACTCTGAAGTCCCAAGCCAGCCAGTGGAGAAATGCAGCCCAGAAGCATCACGGATGCTGGAGACACAGAGTGTAAGCCTGCTTGCAGGTGTTTTCTGAGCCGTTCCTCCATGAGAGGGGCTGGAGAATTGTCCCACTCTCATCCGTGCTCTGCAGCCACCAGCACAGCACAGGCTGAGCCCCTGGTGAGAAGCACTGGCTGTAAGAGCCCCTGGTGTGCTCCAGTTTGAGATGTCCCAGGTTTTGTGGGAGACCTGACTATCGTCTGCAGTGGGACACTGCCCTTCCTCTGTCCCTCGAAGCAGGGCCACGGGCTATCTCTGGAGTCTGGGAAG